TTAAATGAAAGTCTTAATCTGCATATCTTGTCCAAATCAAATTTGCATTCAAAATAAACTCGCACGCCATGCTCGATTAAAATGGAACTTCATTGCCAAAACAAACATGCTTTAAGAACATTCACCAATCTTGTAGAATTAACAAACTTCAACATGAGAAACATAGTCCTGAGGAAAACAAATAGTGGTTAAGAATATTCGAAATCAAACAAATGACTTGCAATGATTTGATAACTTTCAAAGTCTTCCAAACACAATTTTCTTTCGATATTTGAAGATAAACTCATGAGCGATATCACTTATGACCATACGCGGAAATAATCATTGCAAGATCTTGTAATTTGAGGAAATCACAATTCTTAGAAATCAGGCGACAGTTACTTAAGATTAGGTCAAAATCCATGAAGCGACTTCTAACGCATTCGAATTTTGGTGATCTTCTATATGTAATCAGCTCTTGATTTGTGAAGAGAAATTTGAGATGACATCAAGGAGAATCATACGCAAGAATAAACTGCTCAAAAATATCGAATAATGAAGAAGTTACACTTGTTCTTGCAAAAGGTCGATTTTTGAGTCAATGGAGTCATTTTCAGTCGTCTGAACCATTGACTAAGCAAACTTGCAATGCGAGGTTTGAAACTTGGCACGAACATCCTTGAGGAGACATGAAGATCTATGTAGACCATTTGAAACCTTGGAGACTCAGTTTTCTTTGTGAAATAACAAACCCTAATTGTTGACTTACTGCCTAGGAAGAGAATCTGTCTGATCAACTTTTGAGCCAAATTGAGTATTCGAGAAACCCTAGGATAGTATCTTGAATGAAAAATGGGAGGAAAAATTTTGGGGTACAACAGTAACCAATTTAGTGCAAACCACACCTACATCTTGGGGGCATCCAACCCAAGAAAGAAACCCATTAGTACAAAGTTTCTTAGATGAATAAGCCCCTTGTTCACTTCCAATCTTCTTAATTCTACCATAGTGTCTTTCTATTTAAGATTACCCCTAAATATGATAAGCCCTTTCTCACATTCTCTCAATCACTATTCCCAAGTGATCAACATCAATAAACACAGTGATGAATATTGAATTACAACTCAACTAAATAAACAAACTACTATGTCTTATGAAAGAAGCAATAAGATGATGTACAATTAACATAAACAAAGACTCAACCTAAAACACAAAATACACTTAAGCTCGTTGTTCTTCAAGGCATTAAATGAGTCTTTATATATAGCAATTCATAGTTGGGCTTTTCTCCTTGAGTATTTGATCTGATCTCATATAGAAATAGTGGGGATTCAGTTAAGATTTGTTTCCCCAAAACAATACCACTAAAAGATTTTATTTGAATTCAAATTTAAATCTTCATGATTTAAATTTAACCTAATTAAATAATCAACCAAATCAGATTGCTAAAACATAGCAATAACCCTTGTTGCACAAGTAATATAAAAACATGTTCCAAGTAAATGAAAAATGCGTGTACACAACAACAACCTTGTCCTGCAAACAAGGGACAGATGTTGCACACATGCTGGAACATCTGTTCCTACATGTGTATTTCTTCATAGAAACAACTTGAACAAACATTGTTATTTTGCATAATGCATTCAATAAAAAAGGAACAACACTAAGGTATATCATGCCATATCGGGTGGATAAAGTTTTCCATACTGTGGAGGCTAGGGTACGCCAGGCCATATCAGGTGGCTAGAGTATTCCATACTATGAAGGCTAGGTTTTGACAGACCATATCAAGTGGATAGAGTATTCCATACCGTGTAGAAGCGAGTGGTCCGTATCTGGTGGAGGATGAGTATCTCGGGCCATATTTGGTGGACAATATAGTCCATAAAGTGGAGGCTAGGACAATATAAGCCACATCTGATGGAAAGTGTTTCCGTGGACTCGAGGCTGGGTTATCCCATTGGCCATATTTGACGGATAAATCATTATGATCAATTTAGGTTAAACCCATTGAGTTACATGGCAAGTGTAGTCGTGAGCATTACATTCATGTAATTAGAAAAATTAGAAGAGCTTCGTTATTCTCGTTGTGTATCTAATACATTAGAGTAGTATTATTAGTGCGGGAATAGTAGTAGAACCCTGTAGAACCGAGTGGATCCATAAGATAGGGAACTCCACTGAGATTTAGTAATCTCACTCCAATATTGTTGTTGATTTTTAGGTGAGCTTCCGAAGCTGGAGTTTTGGCTAGCATACTTAAAGGTTGAAGACTTTGATGTCTAATGTCTAGTTCCGTTGTGATTGAAATTATGCCACACTAGATAGATGTTAAAACTGGTGTCACAACACCAAAACACAATGTCAAGAAAGACGTTAAGACATCATCTTACTGATAGAGAAATTTACAAAAATAATAAATCGTGCAGAAAATAAATTGTAGAAGATAAATAACATATTTAAATGTTAACCCAATTCGATGCAACTTCACCTACTATGAGGACATCCAAGCCAAGAAGGAAATTCACTATAATAGTATTAGTTCAAAGCTTAAACAACCAAGTTTATAACTTATCACCTAATCACCACCCATGAAATTTCTACCTAGGAACCTCCTATATATGAGAACCCACTCTCACTTCCCACAATCACCTCAGTGATAATAACAATGACCAAAACAGAAGAATACACTTCCAATTAAACAAAGTACACATTTTGCTTAAAAGCTCATGAGTGAATCATAATGGACAATGAATAATCAATATACCTCAATGCATCAAACAAGATACATGAGTGACATACAAAAACAAAGAACAATAGAAAAACTCTCAAACCATAAAAATTCTTGAATAACAACTTCTCCTTTTTTTGCACACTTTGCATTAGGTTTAGGTTTTTCCTTTTAAACTCCTCAGCTAGCATGGGCTTCAGATTTTTCACTCAATTTGTTGTAGATCCACAAACTGATGGATGCATAAATTATGCAGAAAATATCTCCTTGAAATATGGAACAAAAACATCACAAGTTTCCTAAACTATCTCAACATCAAATTTAGAAACTAATGCATAATTGGAGATAAAATTACTTGTTCCAAAAATAAACCTTCTTGATCTGCACAAATATGTTAGATAAATCAATTGAGAATCTCACAAAAATAAAACCATAACCTTCAAGAAGCAACAGTAGCGCCTGCTACATAAATTGGTCAAGATGTCATGACATCTTGCTCAACATCTGACTGTGATACATATTTTACTAAAATTATTGTCAATCACAAAATCACAGACCTAACAGTGATCTTCTGTTTAGTTATTGGGCATCTGATGTACTATTTCCTATGTATTATGTGCTCTGATTTAGTACACTTTTGGATGTCATTTAGATGATGTTGTTTCAGTACCAAATTTTTAATGCTTTATGTAGTATGATTCCAGATAGTATTATGTGGGGGTTGTTACACCATCTAAGTTCACGGATTTCTTACTGTTAGTTTGCTCGCTTGATCTAGAAGAAACAATAAGAATTTCATCAGTCAAAAAATTGGCAACCCTTTATATGGTTAACAAAAATCACATTTCTTTGTTGCAAACGTTTTAATTGAGTTTCCTAAAACTTGAACGATTTGTCAGAGACAACAGCACAAGTGTCAATAATTTCATCGGTATCCGTGACACTTTAAATAATCTTAAAATTATTGTTTTAAGGTTTTGAAAAATTGCCATTGAAAAAAATTATCGGGTTAGTCGCGGACTAGGTTGCTCTCTTTAAGACTTTTTGCTGAATTGCACAAAATTGTGCAAGACAAGATCATCAACCACGATGCCTTTAGACTAAAACATTTTAGCTCTATAGTGTATGATTACTACTTGAACGGTAGATAATCGGTCTAAAAATACTCTCTCTGATGGCACAAAGACCACTCTAAATTATTTCTAAGACAAGAAGAAATTCAAATAATTCTCTAAAGAGAATGCAATAATGGTTGTTTGACCACTCCATATAATTTCTCAAATGGGAAGAAACTCAAATAATTTTCCAAATAGAATTAAGAAAAATACTTGAAAAATTAAAAGAGTAGAAATAAAAGGGAAGAAATTGACGTTTCGACAATTCAAGAACCCGGAATAAAGAGCCCGAGGAAGAACAAAACTCAAAAATAGTTTTTGAAATGAAACACAGAAACAAACTAAACAAGAAATATAATCTAAGCAATATGGAACATATAATTTTCTCAATTAACCCCACCTAGTGGGATAAGGCCTAGGAGTTGTTTGCTTGTAACCCACAAACATGATATGAATTAAACCAATAATATATGTATTTAATTGACATTTTTGGCAGAAGCACAAGAGGAAATCATGATTTAAAATGCACGGATGTAGCAGAGATAAACTAGTTTTCAAGAAGAAATCAAATTAATGTTATTTCATTATTTAACATTGACAACTACAAGTAGAAGATTACATTGTCGAGTTTGAAAAGTAAATTTTCCAGTATTATAATGTAGATTTGAAAATTACAACATTGATATTGAAAAGGTGTTTTCTAAGGGTGAGAAGCTGGAACGACAGTAATCTTGTGGAAAATCAACTATAAGGCTCTTTTATGGCTCCATGCATGATGATATCAAATGTGCATCAACTAAGATATATTTGACATGTGTTGAAGTTAGGTAGTAAAGTGAACATCCGGAAAAATTGGTCTCAAAATAGACTACTTTTTCAAGGCTCATCCCGAAAACTTAAATGACTAAAAGAAAGAAAAGAAGAAGCGAATTAAAGATGTCATGAAGGTAGAAAATGAGTGAAGAAAAACAAGAGCGTGATCACCAATTTATACTACTAAAGATATCATAACTAGTGTTTCTAGTGACTTGTTGAAAAAGTTTCAAAAATGTTGATATAAGTTACATCATTCAAATCAAGAAAATTATCAACATTCATTTCCTTAACAAAAATGATTATATAGTATTGAGAAAATGTAAATCCACATCATAATAATGAGTGGCTACAATCAAATTTTAATCATAGTAATGTTGAGAGGTGCAGTTAGGGAAATGCATAGACGCTGGTGATTTTGTTTTAAGGACTGGATTGCTCTCAAAGAAATTGGTTGGTCTCAGCTCAAATCCACCACTCAAAGTTGGCATAACCGGAAAATCTTCCTGTGAAGGAACATGATGAAATCCCATGGTGTACCATAATACTATGTCCTTGTTCTCAATCTCTCTATCCCTACACATCCAATTCATCATATCAAAACATAAACATCTTTTTTTATGCATATTACATATTTAAATTGTATTATAAGTTTGTGAGGTTTAATATAATTTACTCACCTGAGACTCCAAACAGCTAAAGTATCATCACCTCTGCTATGATCAACATATAATCCTCCAGCCCATTTCTCACTTTTGTTGAATGGTGTCACCCACACATTATAATTAGTGAATGCACCTCTAATTTGTGGATAATCATCACTTACCATAAGTGGATGCACAACTGATCCTGGAACCAAACGGTACCCTATTGTATTTCCTAGTTTTGTTTTCTTATTAGGATTCACCACTACTAACTCAGAAGGCTTCAAACCAATGTTAACTCTTGCATCACTTTCTGTTTTAGCTGTTTCCTTTACAACAGTCCAATAACTTTTCCTTGGTGTTTTCTGATCTTTCACTCTTACTGTCTCTAAATTTGCCTTGACAAAGGAATTGGCTTCACCATCAATGTCGAGGTCAAGATAATAAGTAAGGAAATGGTCATGGTAGACACCAATGGTGTTATCAGCTATCAATGTGCCATATATGTCTTCTTTGATTTGATCTGTGTTGGTGTATGTCGCTGCCTTAACCTCTAATATCCCCGTAAGCCCAACCTATTTAGCATGCAGTTAGTTTCACAATATAGTATAAAACATTTTTGTGTAGAAATCCATACCGTAAGTTTGATGCTACCACTTGGCTTAAACTCCCAATCAATAACATAATCATAATTTCCAACAGTTGAAACAGCTCTCACTACTAGGCTTACATCTGACCTGACCTCATTTATCTGCACAAACAAAAATACTTATACATCAATTAAAATTCAAAAAATAAAATTTAGTGTAATTTTTTTTTAAACAAAGAAATCACCACTTCATTTGGAATTCCAATTTCTGTGTGACGCCACATGATATCACCAGCATACTTCTCAAATATGCAGAAAGCATTAGATATCTTAACAGGAGTACCATCTGAGCCAGAATAGTATGCATCTATGAACACGGCATTGGCAGGACAATCAGTGAAAGGTTGTAATGAAGACATAGACTGTCCAAAACCAAATTCACCACAATCAAAGTATGATGTGTAGTACCATTCCTCCGTTGGGTCTTGGTATGGAATAAAGACTTCTGATATGAATCCTTTGTATAGTACATCGCGATATTTTTTCTTCTCTAGATCATAAATTGATGCCAGAGATATTACGGGGCCAGCCTGAATATCGAATCCCAAATGAAAGACCCAATTGGCCCAACTGATGCACAGAAATGGTCAGTATCATTCATCAAGCAACATTATCTCTATGATTGTGTTAAAATAGTACTTGACTAGATAAGATATTTTGCTAGCGTGCAAGAGAAAATGGTCCACTATCTAAATATAATTAACCTTACCTGACGGAGTGATCTTGGATGGTGAAACCGTGTCCATCATGTTGGATGACAGATATGCCTTTAAGCTTTGGACCAAACGGTGGTTTCATCTTTGAAACTCGATACTCAGTCCCTTCATCTTTCGGCACTGGAATCACATGTTTATCAGAGTAAGCAACAATTTTCATTTCATCAAGATCAACCACGGCTGACACACCCTCCAATGGTCTCATATACAAATTAGCAGAACCATTGATGTAATAGCACTTAATTTTCAATGTCCTTTTGGTGTTTTCCTCTCCAAACCAACCTATTGTGAAAGTGGAACACAGAACATGAGATATGTTAAGACCTCTTTTTTTTAGAGAATGTTTAAATGGTTCATAGGTGAATGGTAACTGTGAGGCAACTGCTTGTTCATCAAAGGTAAGCATAGGATAACCGTGTCCTTTGTAGATTTCTGTTGAGATTATGGAACGAGTTGGAAAATCTAGTGTGATTTCGAGGGACTGTTTTTGAAACCTGGCTATGACGAAAGCTTGACGAGGTGGTGGTGGAAGAGTTTTGGTTTTTGAGGATAGCCATGAGTGGATAACAGGTTTGTCTGGTTCGTGTAATCCTACGTATTGAAAAGTGAGGTTGATGTGTTTGGTTGAGGTTTGGTATGCTTTTAGGATTATGGTACGAACAAGGTTGAGCTCTGAAGGGGTGAGAGGGTCAAGGGGGTGAGGATGAATGCATTCTACAGAGCTACATAAGAGCATGGGGAGAAAAAAGAGAGAGAAGAATATAAACTTCATTTTCTTCCCTCTTATTGTGGTGAGGTTTTGGGTCAAACAAGTCAGGTACTTTAATTATTATGAAACATTATCTATTATTTATCTATAAAAATTAAAATACCTCAAAATTTAAATATTATTCCTCTAATCCTAATTAACATTTAATTTAATTATAAGAACACAACAAATTTTTTTTAACACTACTCTTACCATATTATTTTGGTATTTATTATAGCTTAACATCACGTACATACATGAAAGTGGAAGATGAAGAGCCACCTTGTAATTAATAAACCCTTGAGTTTTTCTCGTTGTCATAGTTGAACTATTACATAAACCAATATTTCTCATTTCAAATTCCACAAAACATTTCATCATTTCACTCTTCCCTCTTTGCTGCTATTGAAGATGAGCAATTGAAAAACTAAGAAAAACCCACCGCTTCTTTGTCATTTCATTATCAGCCCTTTCCCTTTCGTCGGAAACCCTTATCGTCTATCTCCTAGAGAAGGGTTGGCGCCTCTGTTAGTCTAGATAGTATAGTTTATTTATACTTCTTTGTTTTTTTGTACATGTATTCAATACACTTGCCACATCAGCTTTGTACATAGTATAGGTTAGTGTATACATATATATATACACTCTTGTAAATGCCTTAAACAATCAATGAAGAAAGATTTGTTTTTGCTTAACAACTTTCTGTTAGCTCTTCTTCTTGCTGCAACATTCTGTTATCTCTTTCTTCTTACTGCAGTTTTACCTTCATTCAACATGAAGTTTCATGGTGAGTTCACCACCATTAACATGGTATCAGAGCCTCAACAGCTCTGGTAGCCATCGTTCTTGATTGCCTCTTCGTTTTCCTTTCTTGGTGTTTTTCCTTTTCTGATTTCACCAATTGTTATCTTTTTCTTCGCAATCAATTCTTTTGTTTTCTGTTTCGTATACTCCATTGATGGCTTCCCAGAGCTTCACAGATTTCTCCACCAATTCTTCAAATCCCTATTATTTGCATCCGAATGAAAATCCTTCCTTAGTTCTTGTTTCGCCCCTTCTTGACGATAAAAACTATCACATTTGGGCTAGGTCAATGCAAATTGCATTGATTTCAAAGAACAAGGAACGATTCATTGATGGCTCGCTTCCAAAACCTCCGATTTTAGATGTTCTTTACGCTCCATGGATCCGTTGCAATACTATGGTTTTGGCTTGGCTTCATCGTTCGATTTCGGAGTCCATTGCAAAATCAATTTTATGGATCAATACTGCTGTTGGTGTTTGGCGAAATCTGCAAATCCGTTTCTCACAAGGAGACATTTTCCGCATCTCTGATATTCAAGAAGAGCTATACAAATTCAAGCAAGGTAGTCTTGATGTTTCGAATTACTTCACACATATGAAAGTCATGTGGGATGAGCTTGAATCGTATCGTCCGATTACTGTATGTTCTTGTGCAATTCCTTGTTCCTGTGGAGCTCTTTCTTCCATTAGGAAATACAGAGAACAAGACTATGTCATAAGGTTCCTCAAAGGATTGAATGAGAAGTTTACTCAATCCAAAACTCAGATTATGCTCATGAATCCATTACCAGATATTGATAAAACCTTCTCTCTAGTTATTCAACAAGAAAGAGAGCTTAATAGCTCTCAATCAGTGGTTTCAAATAGCACTACTGAAGAGTCAACAGCTTTACACTTGAACACTAATTCTGGCAACAATCATCAGAAGTTTGGTAATAGTTCATACAAGGGCAAAGGTAATGGATATGGAGGAGCAAAAGGTCCTAATCGAATTTGCACTCATTGTGGAAGAACAAATCATACAGTAGAGACATGCTTCACTAAGCATGGATATCCACCTGAATTTAGAGGTAAAGGCAAATCCACAAATTCTAATTCCCACTCTCAATCTGTTGCTTCTGTTGAATCAGGTCAAGCATCTCCAAAGCAGGTTTCAACACATCCCATCAGTGGCTTCACTCAAGAGCAATATCAAAGCATCTTGGACTTAATTCAACAGTCAAAGACCAACCCTACAACCAATTCTATCTCAACATCTCCATTTGTCCTGAATTCTCACTCAAGTCATGATCCTGGTAAGAATTCCCATATATGGATTCTTGACACAGGTGCCACTGATCATATAGCTTTTGATTTATCTTGTTTTAGCTCATATAAAACTATAGTTCCTATTCATGTTAGTTTACCAAATATTTCTACTGTCACTGCCTCTATTTCTGGAAGTATTGTCCTCTCTCCTACCTTGATCCTTCACAATGTTTTACATATCCCTAGTTTTCATGTCAATTTACTCTCTATTGCCAAACTCGTTCAGAACAGTGATCGTGTTGTTAACTTCACTGATAATTCATGCCACATTCTGCAGAATCATTCCAAGGAAATGATTGGTACAACTAAACTTCAAAGAGGTATCTACGTGCTTGATTCTTCTCAACATGACCATGCTTTTAATTCTTCCATAATAGATAATTCATATCTTTGGCATTTAAGACTAGGACACATTTCTGCTATAGGTTTGCAAAATGTATCAAAAATATTTCCCTTTATTCCTTCAAAATGTAATACTCAATTTCCTTGTGATCCTTGCCATTTTAGTAAACAAAAGAGATTATCTTTTCCTCATAACACTACTTTATCTAAGGCCCCTTTTGAATTGTTACATGCTGACTTATGGGGACCATTCTCTACCATTTCAATGCTAGGACATAGATATTTCATTACTCTTGTTGATGACTATAGTCGATATACTTGGGTAATTTTTATCAAAACCAAAGACCAAACAAAAAACAGTATTATTCAATTTCTAGCTTTCATTGAAAATCAGTTCCATACAACTTTAAAGCAGTTCAGATCAGATAATGGCACTGAGTTCAATGCCTTATATGAAGTTTTCTTATCTAAAGGTATTATTCACCAAAAGTCATGTCCTTACACACCCCAACAAAATGGAGTGGTGGAAAGAAAACACCAACATATCTTAAATGTAGCTAGATCACTTTATTTTCATTCCAAAATTCTCATTAATATGTGGAGTTTTTGTGTCCAACATGCCATTCACATTATAAACAGATTACCCACCCCTCTTTTAAAGCTCAAATGTCCATATGAAATCTTGCATGGTCAGCCTCCTTCTCTAATTCACCTTAAAGTGTTTGGTTGTTTAAGCTATGTTGTTTCCAATCAAATTCATAAAGCCAAGTTTGATCAAAGGGCAAGGAAAACTGTTTTCTTAGGATTCAAGGATGGAACCAAAGGTTACATTCTGTATGATTTACAAACTCATAATATTTTTGTGTCTAGGCATGTGACATTTTATGAAAATATGTTTCCTTTTGCTGTCACACATCCAAATCATACTCAGTCTTCACATCCTAGTCATCCTACTCAAACTGTACCACACAATTATGCTGATGTTGACTTGTCACACCAGCCTCCTATTTCTACTGAACCACAGTCTAATTCTACTAGTCTTGACAGCTATACTTCACAGCAGAGCAGTCCTTATGACCAACCTTTATCTGTAGATACTCAATCTACTCCTTTATCCAATGAATCTATTGATTCTACACCAGTTCTTAATCCTAGCCCCCACACCCTTCCTTTTAATATACATAACAATTCTGAAAATCCTACCAACATATCTCAACCTAATCTTAGGCAATCTAATCGTGTTTCACATCCTCCAAGGTATTTAGAGGATTACCATTGTTACCACACTACTGATAATCCTTCTACTTCATTTTCCAATTCTACTAAGTCTATCATTCATTATCCTCTTTCTTCAGTCATATCATATGAGCAATGCTCTCCCTCATATAAATATTTTTGTTGTGCTATTTCATCCATTTCTGAACCCACCACATATAAACAAGCCATTAAACATGATTGTTGGGTTAAGGCCATGGATGTGGAGCTTAAAGCTCTTGCAGAGAACCATACATGGCTTGTGGTGGATCTTCCTTCTGGTAAGGTGCCTATTGGTTGTCGTTGGGTGTATAAAGTTAAACATAAAGCAGATGGATCCATTGAAAGATACAAGGCTAGGTTAGTAGCCAAAGGCTACACTCAAATGGAAGGTATCGATTATTTTGATACATTCTCACCTGTAGCCAAGCTTATCACTGTTAGAGTTCTTCTTTCTCTTGCAGCTATCAAAGGGTGGTTTCTTGAACAGTTAGATGTTAATAATGCTTTTCTTCATGGAGATTTGCATGAAGAAGTTTATATGAATCTTCCCCCTGGCTTGTCTGGTTATGATTCATCCAAAGTTTGCAAGTTACAAAAATCATTGTATGGCTTAAAACAAGCCAGTAGACAATGGTATTCCAAATTATCTGCTTTTCTCATCTCTCTTGGATATACTCAGTCACAAGCTGATTATTCTCTATATGTCAAAAATGATGCACCCCATTTTACTGCCCTACTGGTCTATGTTGATGATGTTGTTTTAGCAGGGAACTCTTTAGCTGAGATCAAACTTGTTAAGCGTTTGCTACATGACAAGTTCAAAATTAAAGACCTAGGCCAACTTAGATATTTTTTGGGATTTGAGATTGCCAGATCTAAAGAAGGCATATTTTTGAATCAGAGGAAGTATACTCTTGAGTTATTGCAAGATGCTGGAGTTCTTGCAGCAAAACCTTCTTTGGTTCCTTTTGATCCTAATGTCAAACTATCTGTCAATGAAGGAGATGACATAGAAGATCCTTCAACTTATAGAAGGTTGATTGGAAGACTCATTTACCTCACTAATTCAAGGCCAAACATCTCATACTCTGTTCAACATCTCAGTCAATATATGTCTCATCCTAAAGTTCCTCATTTTCAGGCTGCCACCAGAATTTTGAGGTACTTAAAATCGGTTCCAGCCACTGGTATTTTGTTTTCTGTTTCTAGTGACTTAAAGCTACTTGGTTTTGCTGATTCAGATTGGGCTAGATGCCCTGATACTAGAAAGTCTATTACAGGATATTGTGTAATGTTAAGATCATCCTTATTGT